AGCGTTAGCTGGGAGATCGATCACTTTGCTAAACTACGCGGTAGCCTACTATTAAATCCACGTAAACTACACATCACAGCAATGAGGCCAGATCAATGAAATCAGGATACATCCTTTACTGTAAAAACTGGATCCAAACACAGCTGCCTGTGTGCATTTGATCAATACTTTCTGATGTTATATGATATGCTACATATTAGCTAGGCTACATGGCCCTAACACGTAAAGTTATAGAAGCATTTGTACCAGTGCTTTTCACAAGTAGACTCTTGCAGGCCAGAGTATAGGAGTGATTCAACAACAACACAAAGACATATGAGAAGTGATCAGGACGAACAGAAAGAGGAAAAGGAAAAGAGAGTTCACTGAAGAGACCAGGAGGGTCAGCGCAGGAGGAAGAGGAGGAGACGAAGAGACCAGGAGGGTCAGAGCGGGAGGAAGAGGAGGAGATGAAGACATTAGTGAAGAAGAAGAAATGTATGTGAGGAATAAAGATGAAGTATCAGAAAGAGGGACAGAGGCAGGGATCAGGAGGCAGATGAAACTCCAGCTGGACCACATGGTATGTTCTTATTCTCCTTACATATTCCATCACAGCAGCACAATCTAGCAGCTCTTAGTATTGACAAATATTGATTGAAATGTGTTGCTGCACAGGTCACCTTCATCTCTCTGAAGAGATGGGTGATGTCATTTGTGTACTTAATTATAAATTGAAATGTTGAGCTTGTCAATCTTAATCTGAAAATACAAAAACTGAAATATAGTTAAGAGAAGAAACCGACACTTTTGTGATGTAATTCCCTCAATGCAGATCATGGACTGATCCATTATTTTAATAGGAGGGTAAATGGTATGGCGTGACAGGGTTGAAACAAACTGAGGGACAATATTGCAATTTCATAGATAATTAAAGTATTTTTTCAGAATTTATTTTTGATCAGTTAAAGTTGACAAGCATATAATTATATTAGCAGCAACATTTTGGGATAATTGGCCATTTTGATTGGTTTGATATTAAATTAATATGTAATAATGCTTAGTGAGGACATGCAAATATGTCTGTCTAATACTAAGAAAACCAATTTTTTTAAAACAAAATATATATTTAGTTTTACATTGTAATGCAAAAAAACCTGTTCCATTAATTCATTGCTTTAAAATACATTTTGTAGTTTCCTTTCATTTAAAATGGTTGAGGTAAGCTTGGGGGACTCAAAGGGCACCCGATTGTTTGTCTGAACACCTTGTTTCTCTTGTGCATTAAGAACACTTGTGTTAGGGCATGAATTAACAATAAATAGGTTATATACAGTATAAAATACCACGTACTGTCCGCCCTCCCATGCCACCCTGGCATGACCTCTTGCCCCCCCTTTGCCCCCCCATGTAAAATGTTCTAGAACCGCCACTGTATAAAGGTAACCACATATATGTCCGTGTGGAAACAATACCCCCAACTCTAGTTCCATGTGTGGATTATGTAACCTAGTGTATTAAAGGTGGTCACCACAATATATAAATATATACATATGTATATAATAAGTGTCACGATCCGTCAAGATCCGATTTTATTTTTGTATTTGCGTGCATTTCCTGTTTGGAAAGTGGCACTGTACTGATAGTGGTGATTTTATTTTGGAATTCTTAGCGTGCACTTCCTGTCCTGAAAGTGGAGGTGTCCTGAGAGTGGAGATCTGCACCGGAACTGTCCTGAGAGTGGAGGTCTGCAGGCAGACCCCTCTCAATATTTCCCTAAAGAGGCTTAAGGGTTAAGATAAGGGCCTTCTGCAGGCATTGCATGTCCGTTCTGTAGTTATGCTTTATCACCACTAGGTGGCAGCATTGAATATGTGATAACAACTGTCTAGTGCAGTGGTTCTCAAACTTTTTCTGTCAGGCCCCCCCTTTGGAGAAAAAAAAAAGTCGGGCCCCCCCAACACAAATAGTCAGGCTCAGTGGCGGCGCCAAAGATTTATTTTGGGGGTACTGTGGGGTAGCTTGACGTTTCATAGAGGGTGCTCAAACATTTAGGGTTTCCCATTAATGTACCGGGCGCTACAGTGGAATGTTCTACTGCAACACTCCCCACGCATACACACAGTGTACCCGCAACTGTTACAATGAAGGCTCAATAATCAGCTCACGGCATATAGGTGTAAGCAGGGGTAAAGTGCTATTTTTATAGGTGGTGTGTGGACCTCACATAGGGGGGTCCGGGGGCAAGCTCCTCCGGGAAGATTTATTTTTAAATATTGAAGTTAAAAGCATCAATCTGGTGCACTTTGAGAGCAAAATGAAGAGATCTACAGTATGGATACATCTCTCAACACAGAACTGTAAACAGATTGACTATTTCTTTATGGATATTTTACAAATCACTCCCCTTTTAAACGTTATACATTTTTTAATGTCATATAGTATTTCATAATTGTTTTTAATTTATTTATATTAATGGTGACCAAAACGTTTGAGACCCACTGAGATAACACTGAGAGAGTCCTTTAGCTCACTGAGTCTCTCAGTCTGACAGGAGAGGACTCTCCTCCACTTTGTTGTTGAAAAAACTCCTTATATCCGTTAGCGTAGCTCGCTAGCACCAGAAGCTAACAACAACGATCTCCGGTACCGGTGCGCTCTCTCTCTCTCTCGCTCGCGCACACACACAAAATGGCTCGTTCCACACACACACAGAGCCGAGCTTGAATGAAACACAGACACCCAGACGTAATTGTACTGTACCATATTATTTTCGAATCAATAATTTTTAAAAATATGATTTTATTTTTTTGAAAATTGAAAAGAAAATTAAAAAATTTTTTTCAATAACCATTTTTTCTCCTGGTCTCTCGCGCCCCCCCTGTCATGCCTCTGCGCCCCCCTGGGTGGGCGCGCCCCCCACTTTGAGAACCACTGGTCTAGTGGTGTGGGTTCATCTTATACAAGTAAACATGTACTCATACAACATGGACAATCAGGTGTAATACTGATTTTTTTCATCAGGTTTATATACAGTCTCTCTCTTTCAATGGGAGATTCCACTGATATTATCCTGACATAATGGTCATAGTTAGATTAAAAGCATCTTTATCTAAGATGAATCCATGACTCAGTTCACAAACAGCTCTTTGTATTTAAAGCATTTCTTAAATGTAATTCTTCCTGCTTTAAATACCTATTTCTAAAAAAAAGTGTGATGGTTGATCCAGTAACTTGACACATTCTGTGTTAATAAAATCAGTGAGGGTGTGAAGACGAATATCTGTTACCTTTCACCTTTTAATTATTTTATCCCCTGCTCCACAGATACCCTCGGGCCTTCCTGTTATGTCTTCAGGACCCTAGTAGTCAAATGAAAAGTGAAACTACTTATTCTGTTTTTATTCTCAAGTATCACATGTATGCATTGCTAACCCTTTTAGAAAACAAATCCCATCATTAGGTTACACCGTCTTCTCTTTTTGAGACACAGCTTTTCGCAGAGCATTGTGGGTGGAGATGATCCCAATGTCAGATAAGAAAGCCCAGAGGGATGCTGGGTCAGAAAACCGGCGTGTTATCTCTTTTCTCCAGACTTGGTATTATGTCACAACTTAAAACCCTCACACCATTGTTCACACAATAAGAAGTCTGTATCAGGTCAAAGGCGTTCATGTTTCCTAACAATACAATAGCCAGCAGCACATGAAACAGCTGTAAATCAAGTAAATGACCATTTAACTTTATAAACACATTCAATCATTTTAAGATTCATCATTTGTTATTTAAAGGAATCTTCTCTTTTTCAAGATGTTTCCAGTAGACTCCTGTGGTCTGGATCTGGATCTGGATTAATACTGAGCAAAACCCAGAGGTATCACGCTCAGTGGGGGATGAATATTCCCTGCTAAATGTCTATTAATGTGCCGGAAGCACTCCACGGACACTGCGATGACAGCTTCTTCTGGTAGCATGTTCCACTCTCTGATTGTTCTGGGAAAGAATGAGTATTTCAGAGTGTCACTAGAAGCGGATATTCTAACACCTGAGGGAACTTGCAACAAAAAACATGCTTATGTAGGTAAGAAAACGTGTATTATTAATAAGTCCAATTACCGTGTTCAATCAGTATGTTTTGATATATTTAAAGAAATAATTATTTAAAGGAAAAACTTCAAACTTTTTTCCAGTAGGCTCCTGTGTTTGAGTAGACTATTATGCCTGAGGAAAACTTCTAGAACATTCTTTTATCTAAAACTGCCAAGCAATAAATGGCACAAGCATCGATAATAAGGCAAACAAAAAAATAGCATGTAGGCCTATGTATGAATGTATGATCTTGTCAAAGGTATTCATGTTTCCTAACAATAGCCAGCATCAAATGAAACAATAGCAGGACATTATGGAAACGAAACGTTTCCTTATTAGTTTGTCCAATCATGTTTAAAAAATGATATTTTGGTGATTATTTATTGGAAACTTTTCTATGTTTCCTGCAGGCTCCTGAGAATGAGGATACTATTGTATTGTAAGGAAAACAACACACGTTACACTTTTTAATCCAAAACTGCCAAACAATAAATGCCATAACCATCGACAATTTCAGGAGCCTAGGAAATTGCTTGCATGTATGCATGCCCCATCAAAGGTGTTAATGTTCCTTACATAACAAAAGCTAGAAGCTCATGAAATAGCTGTATAGCAGGAAATCAAGGAAAGGAAAAGTTTCCTTATTAGTTTCCTTATTAGTTTGTTCAGTCAAGTTTGGATACAAAATATTTTTAAATGATTATTTAAAAGGAAACATCTCCTTTTTTTCTAGATGTTTCCAGTAGTGGTTGGGACTATTATACCCGAGGGGAAATTGTAAAAACGTTTTAATCTAAAACTGCCACACAATAAATGACATAACCATCCATAAGTTCACGAGCCTAGGAAATTGCATGTATGTATGAATGTGTGTGTGGTTGCACTGGTTGTAAATTGATCCCTCCTACTCTCGCTGCTCCGTTGTGCAGAGGAGGGGCGAGGAGGAGGAGGGAGCCAAAGCAGGAAGGAAGGCAGGCAGAGAGGGAAGGGAGGCAGGCTGTGAATGCTAACAAGCCCCGTCGTAATCATACAGTTCAGTAGGTAGGGTTTGATTAAAAACGTCTTGCAATGGAGAGGAACGACGACCACTATTAAACACCTACTATGCACCAGTGCCGCCTTCGTCCTATGCGCGTGCAGCAGTCTCACCGTCGTCGGCACGTTTGATCTGAACAACCGTCTTTTTCCGCTGAAGTGAAATGTATCGCGACTGCTTGGGACTCACATTCTGACAATGGAGATTGAAAATATCGTGGCCAACACGGTTCTCCTGAAGGCGAGGGAAGGTAAGCACAGATGAATGGCAAAATACATAATGAAAATGTACCCCCCCGCATACACACCACCACCTCAAAGATAGGTCCATGAACGCATCCCGAGCTTTTCGGCTGTCCTACTCGGGGTTTTATGCTTTCTCTGTTTCTGCGCAGCGCTTTGTCTCCGGCAACCATATAGCCTACCGTTGAAATCAGCTGTTTGTACGCTGACAACACACACAGTTCCCGGGCAGGTTAACAGAAGGCCCAGCAGCGAGCAGGCTCGGGATGAACAACGCAGGGAGTGTTTGCAGCATCGCGCTTACACGGCGGCGGTGCACTAGGCTGTCGAGCAATTTTTTTCACACTAGCACAACCGCTGGTTTTGTGGGTTTTTACCATTTACGATGACGTAGCGGGCATTTAATGGTATTTATGTATGATATTGAGTGTGGACCGATAGCTGCGCAGTGGGGCTCTGTGCCTCCAGGACAGCCTCTTCTTACCTGTCATTGTAGGTTTAAAGCCCAATTAGGGACGTTACAATTATGGTTTTATTTGACGCAGAAATATTTAAATGCATTGTCGTTTGGTTGTTGATAGGAACTACGGGGAGGAATATATAACGTAAAAAATGAGGTTTTAGTTGTTAGAGAATTAAAGAAGGCCCACTACGTACCCTGGCGGCCCAGGCGCTTTAGCCCCGGGTGTTGACGCTGCTCAGTGGGACGGTGATCCCACAGCAGCCGCTCACCCGGAGATAGGAAAGAGGCGAGTATCCCTCTGTTTTCCGTGAGATGGCAGAGTAGAGAGGCTGCGTGTGGGCGCAGGGTGGGTGTACGACACTATCAGCTGCTAGAGGAGGGTAACAAATGTGTTATTACTGCTCAAAGGTTTCCACTACTGGACACCAGCATAAGGCTATGGCGTCCTATATGATATATCCAAGTTGATGCGTTTCATTCGACAGCAAAATCGCCCATACACGGCTCTGGGTATGCAGAGAGGCCTCCCCTGCTTCTGGTTTGCATTATATTCGGACTGCGTTTCAGATCAGGACTAAACGCCAACACTGCTGTGAAATGGATTGTTCACAGCAGCAGTGAATCCATTTCATAGCATCAGGCTTTCCTTTACCTGCCGTTAAATGGTGCTTGGTATTGTCGTGAGGTTTACCCCGGGAGGGTATTGTAGACTGATCGGATCTACAGGCTCAGTATGTCAGTGTCCTCAGCCAGGGGCCCCGAAAGGCCCTCAGGGATCATCATCAGTATGAGAAGCGAGTAAGGAGCCTGGCACTTCTCCATTTGTCAACCAGCTACTTGTTCTTGAAACTATGAAAACTTTAGGATGGCCCACTCTTAGTCGATTAATTGTCCATTTTGTTTGATGACTAAGATTTCTAGGTAATTTTTGTTCATGTTTTTTCAATGGAAGCCTTATTTCCAAGACATGTAAGCGCATCTATGCACAAGATAAAAAGTCGTTGTTTGTGTAGAAACCCAGTTTAACAGGCGTTTCACATTTGTATCCAATGCAGACACACACTACTATACCGTAGACATGCATCTAATACATTAGTCGAAAAAATCACGAGTGTTAGTTTACTAAGTATTTCTTTAGGCGAAGGTTACCCTTGCAAACGGTCTGTACTTGCAGTTTTAATAATGATGTTTGTGTAGCATGGACACTCCTCCGCCACATCAAACATGTTGATTATACAGCCAGTGTTGTTTTTTATATTTCTCTCTGCTATACCATTCAGTGTGTTCATTAGCACTGAGATTAAAACAGCTAATGGCTCCCAATGTAACCCTTTCAGGTGCACGGGAGACTAATTTGATTTTAATGATGCTTTCCAGAGGTGGTTGTTTGCAGCTGTCAAAGTGTTTCAGTGTGTCACAGTGACAGGTGTCAACACTGGCACGAGTTGTATAACCTATTACCCGCCTTTTGAACACACCAATTCAGACAGAAAGCGGCTCCTGTGGATTCAGAGGTCAGCTCCTTCTTTAATTCTCTCCTCGATCATCTATATGCCACACAGCATCAAGGCCTAGCGACTAGCAGAGAGTTGCAGGCGGGCCGTCTACCAGCTGCAGGGTCCAAGCTGTTGTTGAGTCAGCAACAGTTTGCCCTGCTGATGTGTCCTTGAGGAAGACGTTAAATCAGTTGTTCTGTAACTCTGTGACCTCATTGTGGAGCCGGGAAGTGACAAATAGTTTCTCAGCGTACTAAGTATGTATAAACAATCATTTGTTTGCAGATATGCAGCTTTTTCCAGAATAAACTCCTGATTAGTGCCGTCCTATTTGTCTTTTTTGTGCCTGGAAAACCTTCACTCACAAGATTTTCACAAGTCAATTTTTACACACCTGTTGATGTGAAACTGGGTGGCCAGAGTAAGAAGTGTTACGACAGGGTGTGTCCAGTCTGCCACTGCTGAAATGACACGTCAAGGGAAGTGGTTTTGGTGTTGTAGAGATGACACCGCTCCCACCACTCCCCACCCCTGCCTCTGGGAAACGTATACATGCATTTGCCTCAGGAAATCCCAACACATTTTCAAGACCTTTCTTTTGCCTTAGGGCCTCTCAGACTGCAGGAGGCGACAGTACATGAAGTCAGAGGAAAACATTGCTTTAGCTCCTCAGAGAATTTGTTAGAAAGTTTTGGCAAATGGTGTTGCTGGAAATACCAAGATGAACACTTTTGGCATAGATTCAGCCCAAAATGTAAGTGAATGTAAAACCTTAGCCAAGTTATTAGAGACTCATTGCAACAGTAGGATTCCACATACCTACTGTTTATCATCAGAAGTACAAGTGTGTTGACAGTCTGAACCCTTTTGTTAAGGACCCAAATTCAATATTTACCTAACATTAGTTAAATCCGGAGGATATAGGGTCTGTTTTGGCGGCTAATACTGTTTCAACACAAAATGTATTGGTGCATATATTGGCTTATTTCATTACATTAAACGTATGCTACATATTGCAGTTTAAAGCACTTGAGATCATTTAGAAACAGCGTTCTCATAGTTTCTCCCGCAGACTCCACTGTTTACAATACTTTGCAGCAAGCACCTGAGTACCCTATCATAGCGGAGCAGATGGCAGTGTGAAGTCAGCTGGTGAAATTCTGTTTACTCTTCAGCTGCAAAATATCCTGCCTCATTACATTTATTTGCCAGAGCTCTTTAACAACCACACCGGAGGTTCCTTTTGATACATTTCACAAAAAACGCTGTTTTTAACTGATGTGTTTTTTGCCGCAGAACAAACTTTCAATAAGGAAATAATATGTGCTGTTATAGCTTCTGAAAACTCACATTTTTTACTGATTCAGACCTAAAAGGTTAACTGATGCCCACCCGAAACGTATATGATTAAAACATCAAGTCGAACATTTCTTTAAAGGGGCCATATTATGCTAATTTTCACATTTCATAATTGTAATTTGTAGGGATGCGCCAATCGCCAATTTTGGGGCTGATCGCCGGAATCAGTATCGGCCGATACCGAACGCCGATCCGATGGAGTGGGCGGGGGCTATGGGGATCTTCCATTTAAAGTGATGTTTAAAACTCAGTTAATGGGGCTCATTCACTGGAGCTTCCACAAACAACAACCAACATCATTATTACATTCAAATGAAGTACATTATTCAAGTTTACATTAACTTTGGATAATAACCATAGATAATAACACGGGAGAAATTAGCGGAAACGCTCTCTCTCACTCTCCTGTCAGTATCTCACGCAGCTCACTGATCCAGTAATGAGTGACCCGACAGTGAAGAATACATATATTTATAACTAGTTTAGCTTGTTCCAGAGGTAGATAAAATAGCTAAGTGTGTTAGGTCTAACTCTCAGTGTGTGTTTCGTTCCGCTCACCAGTCCGGCAGGCGGAGCTGCAGGATTTCTGCTTCACACACACGTTGCATTCCGCTATTTTACTTTCTTTTTCGGACACCTTAAAATAAAGCCAGACCGGTGAAGCCATTTTGGCGAGCTTGTTTTGCCGCACACAGAGAAAAGTGTCATGTATTTTACGTCATGCGATCGGCTCTCACGATCGGGCTTTATAGAGAGCACCGATCGATCGGCAGACAGTGAATATCGGCCGCCGAAGCCTATCACTTACAGTGTGTTGGAGCGCTAACCCAAGCGAGAGTGTTACATAGTGATGTAACAGAAGTAAACAAAGGAGTCCAATGGAGGCGTTTCAGGCAGGGGGGAGTGTGTGGGAGAGACATAGGGCCCTTCTCACTTCTCTTATTTTTCATTTCCTCGCTCCTCGGTCTCACCGGAAGTTGATTTGTCTGCGCCATCTTGAGTAGCGTCCCAATGGCCTTATTTTTGCCGGAGGACCGAGGAACGATAATGGAGGAGCGATAACCGAGGAACCACCAGACCATCCTTCGATTAAATCCTCAGACACTCGCGCCGCCCCCTTACTCTGTATCGCTCACTGATTGGACGAGGCAGTGCATGCACTGATCTAATGCTTCTTGACATGAGAGCAGTTTCCCAGCGGAGTGAAGAAAATACATGAACCTCACGGGACTCACTCCTCAGTTTATACCGTGTTTTGTTTCAATTAATCTATCATTTATTTACAAATATGTGATATATCTGAACAACAAAGTGGTCAAAAATCATTTTATTCATTGATTGGAAACATTTTCATGATCGCTTTTTTCGTTATTTAAGAATGGCGTTTATCTTTTTTGAGAATGAGTTCTTATTTTATTTAATGTATTTGGGTCTATAACAGATGATACAAATGTTTGTGTCAGTAAATGTGTACTAACAGAGGCGGGGGTGTGTGTGGAAATAACGGGGACAGAGCTGCTGTCAGACGATCAGCTGTGCAGCGTCATCACAAACGGACGTCGCTTCACGTGACGCTCCGGAGGAAAGGACGTCCCATTGCTCTTAAAACTCATTTCCCTGCTTCTCGTGGTTTCCTTGCGTCTCTCCATGCTTCCCTGGTGGGAGGGACTAGTCACAGGGAAACGACGCA